AAAAATCTAAAAAAAAAAAAATTAAAAAATAACAAAACAAAAAAAAAAATTGAAAAATAGTAACTAAATATTGAAATTTTCCAGCGGCAAGTGCTCCTAGCGGTAGCAAAGTGAGTTTCGAACTGGACGGTCGAATTATCAATGGCACCGTGGCGAGTTTTAATGAAACCAAACATCAAGTTTCCATACGTCGGCGTCTCAATGATGGATACTTCTTCGGCACTGGTCATCTCTGCGGCGGTTCGTTGATTAGTTCGAATGTGGTGCTCTCAGCGGCGCACTGCTTCGTGAAGTAAGTGTTTAAAACGGTACTTTAAACAATTTTCATGATAATGCCATAACGATTATTTAACTAGTTATGATATCAATAACGGCACATTCCGTCCGGACGAGGACTACATTGTGGTGATAGGCAATCTGGATCGTTACGAACGCAACAACTACACGCTCATTTTCGATATTGCGAAAATCGTCTACAATGTGAGCATTTTCAATCTGAGCACGTATGAGTCGGACATCGCTTTGGTATTTTTAAACGATTCTGTGCCAGCGAATTACACCAGAGCTCAACCAATTAAACTCAATACCAAAGAGGTGCCCGATCAAACAGTTTGCCAAGTGACCGGTTGGGGTCAAACTGAAAATGTGAGTTGATTTTTAGTTAGACAATATTTCTTATAAATTCTGTATCTCACCGTTAATCTGCAGGGCTCCTTATCGGATATTTTGCTGACTGTTGACGTGCCGATCATTAACGATACCGCCTGTGCCAATGACATGCGCTTTAGCGCCGGCCTCATCCGTGTGGGTATGCTGTGTGCGGGCTATTCGGAGGGTGAGCGTGACGCTTGTGGTGGCGATTCTGGTGGCCCACTTGTGTGCAATAACAGTTTGGCCGGCATTGTATCGTGGGGCATTGGTTGTGCACAACCCGATCTGCCAGGTGTTTACACGAATGTTTCCTATTGGTCGAAGTGGATCGACGAGCAAATCAGTGGCAATAGTAGTGATGGTACTAACACAGCCAGCACCAGTCATGTATCCGGCCTTATCGCTTTCCTGACAGTATTTTTTGTCTTTTACGCTGAATGGTTAAATGCTGATAATTTCAGTTTCAATCAAGTTCGCTACCAATCAACTTCATAAACATCAAAACACAATTAAAATGTCAATTAAATACTTAAGTTTATATAACTCGCATAATAAATAAGTAGACCGTTATTTTTTACAATGTATTTGTAAATTTGTACTTTGTTCTCAAACTGTAGCGGTACTTGTTAAAATTTATGTATCTTTCCGCTGAAAATCTTGAAAGATCAACAGTTGGAACTTGGACGTACCCAAAATAGGTGAGAGCTTGAAGTCCGGAGCACCACAAAGATAATCGAAACGCGTTTCAAGCCTTTTATAAGTATGGAGGTTACGTTTAGGAATAACAAGAATGAACAGTTCGAAACCTAGTCTGATTTTTTCGTGGAACCGAGCTGATCCATCATCTGATCAAATTTGATCCGGACTGGGTCATATCGACTGCGGCACAAACCGAATCGATAAAAAATTATTTCCTTTTTTTTCAAGTAAAGTTTGTTTAAATTTTCGATCACTCCTTGAGATATTTCGACTGGTAAAGCCTGAACCGTAGCGGGATTGTCCGTATAGACTTTAGATTTTACGCATCCTCACAAGAAAAAGTCTGACCGGCCCAAAATGTGAAGTTATCTACTCACCGAAATATACTCTCAATAAATCCATTGATTGACGCGAAGTGTGAGAAGTGACACCGTCTTGTCGAAACTAAATGTCGTCGATACCACGAGCTTCAATTTCAGGCATCAAATAGTCGGTTACCATGACGCGATAACGGTCTTCATTGACGGTTACGTTTTCATCATTTTTGAAGAAATTTGGACCGATGATTCCATCGGCCTAAAAACCACTCCATACCGTTGTTTTTTCTGGATGAAATGGAAGCTCTTGAATTTTTTCCGATTACTTTTCGTCCCAAATATGGTAATTTTGCATGTTTACATATACGTTGGGCCAGAAATGAGCCTGATCGCTGAACAAAATTTGACTGTAAACCTCAGATCTTTTTGGAAGTTTTCAAGAGCCCATAGAGCGAAGCGAAGCGCCATGACTCTTTCTTTGGATTTTGCGGTTATAGTTCTTAATAGATTAAGGGCATGGTGGTAACTATAGAGAGCTACTCCGTCTATAAAAAAATTCCATAAATTTATCTTCCCATCCTCCTCTCTCAATCATTACTCTAATCTATTAAATCAAAAATCCTCACCGCCTTAGTTACTTAGTTACAGCATCTGCGTGCATTTCAGACAATTCGTCTAATGGTTGTGTCTATAAATAAAAATAAGTAAGGGATATCCCAAACACGTACATAACATTATATGATTTATAGGCTGACGAAATATAAGCAGTGTAATCATGACAGATAAGCTATATAATCAACTGACGACAGCTGGTAAGACCAACGCAGTCGGTAAAACCAAAGCAATGGGTGAAATTTGGTGTAACAATGTTTTATTACTGCAGCGGCGTTAAGTTTATTAGGAAGAACAAGAACGTTGCATTCGAAGTGAAAGGAACCCAAATAATTTTCTAACTAAAAATTTGTCAATACTTCATTTGAAATTTGAGATTTGCGCTCAATTACACATTCGGTAGTGCGAACAAATGTGTTTTCCTCAGTTGTAAGCTAAGGGTCTTTAATAGCCTGTTAGCCATGTAAGCACCATCCCTGTATTATTACAAATATCTATCGTTAGAAATCCATTTCTGCGATCTGCGATTTCTAACTTGAATTTCCCGCCGAAATAAACACAAGAATATTATCTCGAAAATCGTAACGACGACTCATCAGATGTTGTAATTGTTCACTGAGGGGGATAGTTGGCACAAATTATGGGGTCTCCCGTTTTGAGGATTAGGCAAAGCAAACTTAAATTCCAATCCTTGGGCATGCTTTCGTCAGACCATATTCTACAAAGAAGCTGATGCATGCTTCTTATCAGTGCTCCGCCGCCGTATTTGAATAGCTCAGCCGTAAACCATCGACCCCCACCGCTTTGTTTACCTTCAGACGGGTTATTGCTAATTGAACTTCTTCATGGTGGGGCAATGAAACAACCGCTCCATCGTCATCAATTAGGGAATCGGTTTCACATCTCCTGGTGTTATGCTTTCTTATCTATGTTTGCTATTTAGCAAGTTGGAGAAGTATTCCCTCCATAATTTCAGTATGCTCTGGGCATCAGTCACTAGATCACCACTTCTGTCCTACAAGAATATGCTCCGGTTTTTAAACCTTCTGTTGGTTGCCGACACTGCATTTTTCCTTTCTTTGGGGTGTTAACCCTGGGAAGGGAAGTTTCACCTTCTCACTTTGGTTTGTCTTAAGATGGGTGTGTTTTTGGCTACTCAGAGGATACTTGGTCTAAGACCAGAAGTTGTGAGCTGTTTGAGTCATATGTAAAACAATCGTTTCTGGCCACTCCCAAGTGAATGCCGCTCAGAAACCTGTCCTCACTTGCCTGAACTTCTACACATGGCTCTGTCCTCCTACTTTTTATTAAAACTTAAGAGCTGTTGTTTTTGTTTGATGATCCATTGTGAGACTTCATGTCCGCTTAAAGGTAGACAGATCAACAACGCCTTGTAGTTTTTCAAGGAAATTTTAAACGACTAATGTTCTAATTTAGTCTTTTGAAGGAAGGAGTTCAGGTTCCTCCAAGTAAAATAATATTCTCAACCTTGTGAGGTGATCTATGGTCCTTCTAATCTGACTGCTGCATTCATTCTATAGGAGAAAATACTGCTGAATTTTTGGACCATAATGTAATCTGATATAATGCAATCTCATTAACAAGTCGTGCGGAAAAGAGGTACCATAACCCAGAGAAATTTTAGTCAAATACGAAATCACTTGACAAGGCACTATGTGCACTATGGTGGAACAATAAAAAAATAACAATTTATGAACCTAATACAGGGTAATATTGGTTGAAATCTGCTTTGCTTTGAGGGGAAATCGCTAGCGATTAGATTAAACTATTACAATATTGGAATTTTTTAATAAAAGTTACTTCCCTTCAGCAACTTAAAACTAAAGAATATTTTGTTTTCTACATTGATTGAGGACACAACAATCCTAGGGAGATTTCGCATATACGTAAAGTGTATCAACCCACGTCGATTTACGACGTTCAATAATTGGGAAATTCACAATTTATTTCGCCAGTAAAAAGATAATATGCTAAGATATATACTAATTTTACTGACACTGTGCGCTATTCTACAATTCGGAGGTGAGATATTTAAGTGTTACAAATAAAAAGTTATTAACTGAGACATATTTTATCTGCAGATGCCGCACCAAGTGTAGCTCAAATGAGTTTCGAACTAGATGGACGCATTATCAATGGCACGGCGGCGAGTTTCAATGCCACCAAGCACCAAGTTTCAATACGTCGGCGACACACTGACAGCTACTTCTTCGGCACTGGTCATCTCTGCGGCGGTTCGTTGATTAGTTCGAATGTGGTGCTCTCAGCGGCGCACTGCTTCGTGAAGTGAGTGTTTAAAACGGTACTTAAAACAACTTTCATGATAATGGCATGACGATTATTTAACTAGTTACGATATCAATAACGGCACATTCCGTTCGCATGAAGACTACATTGTGGTGATGGGCAATCTGGATCGTTACGAACGCAACAACTACACGCTCGTTTTCGATATTGCGAAAATCGTCTACAATGTGAGCATTTTCAATCTGAGCACGTATGAGTCGGACATCGCTTTGGTGTTTCTGAATGGTTCTGTACCAGCTAATTATACCAGAGCACAAACAATAACAATGAATACCCGACAAGTGGCTCATGACACGGTTTGTCAGGTCACCGGTTGGGGTGAAACTGAACAGGTGAGTTAACACGGCTCGTCTCATCGACTGCTCCATTCTCAGTATATTTAATGTATGGTTATCCTTCAGGGCCATCTATCGGATATATTGATGACTGTTGATGTGCCGATCATTAATGAAACTGTCTGCGCGAATGAAATGAGTTTTCATCCTAGTTTGATACGTGATGGTATGTTTTGCGCAGGTTATCGGCAAGGTGAGCGTGATGCTTGCGGTGGGGATTCCGGTGGTCCACTTGTATGTAACAACAGATTGACTGGTATTGTATCGTGGGGTAGATATTGTGCGCAACCCGACCTACCAGGTGTTTATACTAATGTCTCGTATTGGTCGAACTGGATCGAAGAACATACGGGTATTAGAGGTGCAGGAGGTACAGCAAGCGTCAGTTATGTATCAGGTCTTTTGACCCTTCTAACACTGAGTTTTCTACCACTTTTATGAAGTCGTAGTTCTTTCATTTGTTTTATGTGTGTTCTAATATAGTTTTTCTCTTGAGACTAGTAAACGTGTATTCGTTTTTATCAATTTTATGGCGGAGATAAAAAAAGTAGTCTCATCAATAAAATATATGTATATTAGTTTTCACTAATGGAAATGCTTCTAAAGTTGTTGAGTTCAGTACATTTTTATCAGAGACCATTTCTTCTTGGAAATATACTCAGCAGTTCGCCATTGTTTACGGCCGAGGTCCGTTCATTAATTTGAAAAAATGTAGATGTTGATTGAACTCCGGTACTATTATGTATAGACTGAGAAGATCGATATAATTGAGCCATTCATCTCAGAAAACATATCTGAAAGATTTGAAGTACTTTGAAAGTTCCAAATGAGAGGCCAATTTGAGACCATTTTTTGCAGAAATTGGGGTCTTGGGTCAGGAATAACATTTTAAAAACTAGTCAAGTGGTGTTAAATTTCGCTATTTTGGAGGCCACCCTGCAACCCCGTCGCGAAATAATACGGTCACTAAAAGTTTCCTTCAATAAATAGATTGTTTCATTGAATGTATGGCGTGTATCGCTGTCTTTTTTGAACCAAAGCTCGTCCACATGTAACATCCTCTAATTCAGGCAAGGAACAGTTCTTAATCACGGTTCTTCAACGTTCTCCACAGACTGTTATGGCCGGTTTCATTTAAAAATATCCTTTACACATAGAGACCACCAAGTTTTTGATGGCTGATCGGCTTCAATTCTTGCATGGGTTGAATTTTGTAAGTCCGCAAACCTAGACCTTTCCGCAAAATCTTCCATAAAATGCATGGGTATAGCTCCAATTGTTGCGTCGCATAGCAGATGAACTCAATCGGGCCTTTTTCGATATTCTGAAGATGCGCATTATCCCGAAGAGTAAACGTGCTACGAAATCAATCCGTGGTTTCTCAAATTACCGATTCTGCTGAACGATTAAGTTGATCGAACTGCCAAATGGTTGGGCCATTATTTTGCTAATAAATTTGTAAGGTTTGCAAATTAAAAACACTAAAACATTCTGCTGAGGAAGTGCCATTGGCGGAGCCTTCTTGGAACTTTTGGATGAACGTCACCTTACCTGAGCGCTGAATTTATTCATACCCTTCAATTTCCAGCATCCTGATGACAGCATATCGGCATAACTGCAGCGTACGGTCAACGTGCCATGCAGCTGGATCTACGCTCTACGTTATTGTGTAAGATTAGGCTATGTTCCGAAGGCCTGGAGACTGCTTTTGTGCATCCGCGAGATCTTTCTGGCCTAGAGTATAACGGAACAGATCTACTGAGCTACTTGCCCTGAGCAAAGTTCATCTTGCCGCAATCAAAGGAGTCATTGCAGGACGCTGTCCAATTCATGAGGTGTGGTTTAAAATCCTGCGGGAGGCAAGTATTCCAAATTGTATAGAGTAGGGTGAGGTGGAACCATTTTTGCAAAACTCAGGATGAAACATTTCGGTAACCTTACCTTTGGCAAAACAAAAGACATAGCCGAGACTGATATTAACCTTCTCAATAAATTTTTGAGAGGCTCAAACCGCTCGATCTGTAGGGGTCTAATGATACAGCTTTTAGGACAGCTAATAAAGTGCCAACAAATTTGCGATAAATTCAAAGCGCTCGCTCTGTAGAGGTCTTATGATCCAGTTTGTGGGAGGTGACCGACGTTCTGAGCTGTCCAAGTGAGATCCTTTTTAGAATCAACCTCTTAAGCTAAACAAATCTAAAGTGAGATTCTTCTTAGAATCACCCTCTTAAGCTAAACTAATCTAAATTGTACGCCTTCAGCGAACCAATAGACATAGCCGAAACTGACATTAGCCAATTCAATAAATTTGTAATAGGCTCAAACTGCTCGATCTGTAGGAGCGACCGGCGTTCTGGGCTGCCCAAAGGAAATCCTTCTTTGGATCGACCTTTTAAGCTAAACTAACCTAAGCTGAGTATAAATCGAGTAAAAGACCAGCTTCAAAAAAATGATTGCTTTATTTAAAATCAGATGGCTACCAAGAAAACACACGTTATTTCCTCACGACTGTCAGTTCTGGAAACAGTCTTTATTACATCCACCACATTATCGAAGCGCATATGTTATGCGCTGCTTCTGACGTCACATAACAGTTATTATTCTCAGAATCTATATATACTATATGTCTAGAGGTTTGACAAATTGAAATTTTGTTGAAATTCGAAAACAATAGGTGCTTTTATCAAAAGCAAGATTTTATCGATGGCTCATATGCTATATATTTTATTTATGAATGTACATATATTTATTGGTATTATGTTATGGGAAACGCACAAGGTCTTCTAATGGACTATATACTACATAGTATGAGTAAAGTGTTATTAAACTACAAGAGGATCAATTCCAGATAAGATCGTGCAACTAGTGTTTCAAGTATTAATATTATATATGAATTACAATATAGGCACACATACAAATACAAAAATTATATATACCGACACATATCACATTTTAATTGATATATACTAGTTGAAGTCGCCTCGGCTGATATCTCGAAGAAGTGCGTCGATTAGATTAGATAATCGGCTGTAAAGGTTATGGCTTTTGTTTAAATAAAATTTTGCTCATTTAATTGGTTTTCACTAATTTGTGCGCCGTCATAGAGAGCAGACCGACGCATTCGATTGCAAGGACACAATATTTGATTGCGGTTTCTTTTAGACAAACAGCGAGTTTCGGCAAAATGGCGGCGCAACGATTGAGAACACTTGTTTCGGCAGTTTTCTGCACTTTGTTACTGTCTCTGATATTACAGAGCGCAAGTGAGTTGACAGTATTTCTACTTGCTTGAAATTGCATTAATTGAGTTATTATTACGAGTACATTACAGCTGTTGCAATGGGCGCAAATACCGGTGCCATCGGTCTAGGCGGACGCATCATCAATGGAACTTTGGCGAGTCTAAATGCGACCAAGCACCAGGTGTCGATCAGAAGGCGTACAAATGATCGTATCTACTTTGGTGCCGGACACATTTGTGGCGGTTCGTTAATAGAGCCGAATGTGGTGCTCTCCGCAGCACATTGCTTTGTCAAGTGAGTGTGTTTTTTCGAGCGTTTAATTGCTGTTTGTAAATGTCTGGAATTTATAAATATAAAAATAATTACTTACAGTCAGGAGATCAATACGGGCATTTATCGTCCTGCTTCTGATTACGTTGTGGTTATGGGCACATTGGACCGTTATGAGCACACTAAATACACGCTGCAGTTCGATATTGCTCAGATAGTTTATGGCGTAAATCCCTTCAATTTGGCCACTTATGAGACTGATATTGCTTTGGTGTTTTTGAATGGTTCGGTGCCGGCAGGACATCCCACTGTACAGGCGATTCAAAGAGCTACAACGGAGGTAGCCGCAGGCACTGTCTGCCATGCGACGGGTTGGGGTCAAACCGAAAGGGTAAGTGATTGTTTTAAAGTTGTGGCTTCGATTTTGAAAAGTTTCGAAGCTGGATTTTGAAAAATTTCGAAATCGTAGCCGCAAATTATACTGTTGGCATTTAAATGTTAGCTTTTTGATACAATGGTAGCAAGTTGGTAGGACTGTTCTTAATTACTATGCCAAAATTAGCGTGATCTGTCAACCAGTTAGTTTATAGTAGCTGCTTAATTCGGTACACCTCGGTAGTGCGTTGCAATTTTTACAATGTATAACAATATCGCACAAAGAATTTGTCTCAAATTGTGTATTTTTAACCAAATTTCGTGTGCGGAATTGTTGCGAATGTTGGAAGAGGCTTACGTTGATTCTAAAACACAAGCCTACGTGTGGTACAAAGCCTTCAAAAATGGTCGAGTGGTCGTTGAAGACCTGCCCCGTTTTGGATGATCTTCGACCACTACAACTGATGAATATATTAAAAGGCTATGGTGCTGACAATCATTGAACTAATGTTAGAGAGATGGCAAGAGAGTTCGACATCTCTCGCGAATCCGTTCGATTTTGATGGATATTTTGAGTATGAAACGCGTTCTTGCTCGATTCATCCCGATAAAGCTGAATTTTTTTTCAAAAAAAGCGTACCGTAAACAGGTCTCTTTTGCCATGCTTGATCGTGCGAATTCCGATCCCACATTCATGGAGAGTATTATAACTGCCGACGAGATATGGGTTTTTGAGTTTGATATCCAAACAAGTCAACAAACATCGGAATTGAGGAAAAAACCGAGTCGAAACTAAGAAAACCATGCCAAAGCAGCTCAAAAATTGAGGCGATGCTCATTGTTTTTTTTTCGATATTCGTGGTTTATTCCATCATGGCCTTGTTCCGGAGAGACAGACGGTCAATGAGGAGTTCTTTCTATTCGGCCGTATTGAGTCGTTTATGTGAGAACATCCATCGAAAACTGACTGCCGGCGATGATGATGCACCATCACATCGAGCCAAGATTGTGACCAAATTTAAAGCCGAAAACGCAATAATACCATCAATCAACCACCGTATTCACCAGATTTTGCTCCGTGTGATAATTTCTTGTTCCGAAACTGAAATTACCGTTCCATGGATAAAAGATCACGACCTTGATTTGGATCGCTCAGTTTGTTTTTATTATGAAAATGATCAGTGTGCTGGCTGTCCGTCTGTATATACGTGAACTAGTCTCTCAGTTTTTGAAATACCGATTTGAAGTTTTCCATACTTCTTTTCAAGAAGCAGCTCGTTTGTCGAAACCGCCGTTTAACGCATGACTATCTGTTATACAAGATTGGCCTCAAGTGGAAAGTTTGTTTATTTGACGAAATATCTTCATGAAACTCGGCATGAGTTGGTGTTCAAGGCAACGGTGCAATCTCCGAAATAATTGTTTGGATCGAATTACTATAGGTTATGGCTGCCATACAAACACAACGATCAGAATCAAGTTCTTATAAGAAATATATTGTTTTTGTGAATTTTTCTTATTTTCTTGTGGGACATTTCGCAATAATTTACAGCTTTATTTGCTCTCTAAGCGTGACAAGAATTGTGCTGGAGAGGAGAGCGAAGTATGCGAACAGAACTATTGCTAATTTTTAATAGATTATGACTTATGCACACATATCAAACGGTGCCAATGTTTATCTTAATAACCGTTATTAATGTATATATAAATATAAACTTATACATACATACATACATATGTACATGCACAATATTTTCCGTTTAAAATTTAGACACTTTATCGCTCTATTATTGCTTTATAACTCACCTGGGCGCGGCCCATAAATTCATTTCCGCTTTTTATTTATTTATTTATTTATTTGTTTTTTTTTTTATTATTAATTGCTAACGTAAAATTTTTGGCATCTCTAACTGTTTCCGCTTTTTATTATATTTTTTTAGGGTGTATTGTCCACAAATTTACTGTCAGTTGACTTACCCATAATTGGAAGTAATCAGTGTACCGCAGACACCGACTTCGCCAGGGGTCTGATACGCGATGGCATGCTTTGCGCCGGTTATCTGCAGGGCGAGCGTGATGCTTGCGCAGGCGATTCTGGCGGTCCGCTGGTGTGTGATAATTTGTTGACCGGCATTGTGTCGTGGGGCATTGAATGTGCATTGCCACGACTGCCCGGTGTTTACACGGATGTGGCCTACTACTCCGATTGGATCGGTAATGAGTTGCAGAGCTATGTGAGTAGCATGCAGCGTGCGAATAATACGAGCAATAGCACGAGGCCGGGTAACAGCACTGGCAGCGGCAACAGGCCTGGTGGCAGCAACAGGCCAGGTGGCAGCAACAACACAGGTGGTGGCAGTTGGGGTGGCGGTGGCGGTGGTGCCATGTCGACGTTCTCTCATTCCGCCGTTATACTCGCTATGTTTGCCGCTTGGATTACAGTGATGAGCTATTTCAACTGAAATTATGACTTTTATATAATATATGAATGTGATATTCCACAAGTATTCAACGATTTTATTTATAAAACATAATTGAATAAATGCGAAGAAATGTGAATTTTTATTGGTTTGTGTTAAAATTATATTTGTTTAAATATTATCTCTTTCAAATGTTGGTCGCTGCTAGGTTTCAAATGGTCCATCTGTTAAGTCCAATTTCCGATGAGTCATTCGAGCATTTAAACTGGTAACTGGTGATTGATACACGTGATGTTTCACTCCAAGGCCTGAATCGAAGCGAGATTGTGCGCTTAGACTTTAGACTTTACATACCCCACAGGAAACGGAAAAAATCCAAATATCGCCGAGAGACGGTTACGTTCTCACCGGCATCATTTTTGGAAGAAATATAGGCCGATGACTCCACCGATCCACATGCTACACAAAATTCTTGAATCTCTTCCGGTTGCTCTTCGTCCCAAATCCGGCGAATTTGCTAGTTTGTGTACCCATTGAAACAGAAATTGGCCCCATCTCTAAACTTTTCAAGATCTCAACGTAAAATGCGCCAAGTCATTCCATATAGAACGTGAATTTTCGTAATAAAGTTGAAGGATTTGTAAACGTTGTTCAGGCGTAAATCTTTCCATGATGAAATGCCAAATAATTCTGAGCTTAATCCGACTCATGTCGTGAGTTAAAGAACTTTCCAGAACAGTCAAACATTTCACACATCCTTGATAGGGGCATTCTCTCATGTTCTTCGGCCCAGTAATGTGGTGTGCGGGATTGCGGAAATCTACCTATCGGAAGCCAATGATAAGGCTGTAGAGTTGAACTAGTGCTAAACCTTTCAGCTGTAGATCTAAGCTTTTTTTATCTGCCGAACCACTTCAGTATATTTCAAGGAGAGGCCTCTGCTATTGGTGAAACCGCGGAGTTAGACTCTAATGCATCCGCAGACAACTCTAGAATCAACATCTTCTTCAGTAAACTATCACAACCTTAATCTCGTATCGCGTATCAGCCAGAAGTCTTATGGAAAGTATGTATTATGGTGGAGAGTGTTGCTAGAACCAAGCGACTTCCCGTCTACTGAGTGCCAGCTCAGAAAAGTATCGAGGGTAATGAGATAGTGACGAGTTTGGCAACAGCGGTGTACGGCTGTCAGCTGAAAACATGGTCAACATTATTAATTCATAGGTTAATGGTATGCATTGGCAGGAGCAGGAAAAGGACAATCAAAACCCGATGGGACTGTGTACAGAAATACAGTACGGTGGATCGGAAATATACAAAGTTCCTGCTGGCTCTCTGTAGAATGGACTATAGGAACATGATTGGAATGCTGTCTGGTCATAGTTTGGTGGCGACACACGCATGCATAATGTGGCAGACAGCTCGAGAAGAGTGCAGGAAATGTCAACAGTAAGGCTCCATAGAAACAATGGATCAACTCTTGTCTGCACTTTAAGCATTTAGGGCCCCACTGTATGAGACAGTGGAAGTGGTATCATTTAGTCAGCCGCTAGTGCGGCCACAAATTCTGTTGAAATACGCGTCAAGCGTAGGCCACTTAAAACATCATTACTCCTCATGAACTTCGTAAAGGAACTACATTTGGTATGATCTAGGCAGCGAAATTTTTGATTGTACAAAGTCAAGCTGTAGTGGGTAGAGATGCAAATTGAAATTCGGTTTGCTGATTGACTTCGGTGGATAAAAGCAAAAATTTGAGGATTTTTTTTGGAAAAGTTTTCATACAATCCTTCGACCGTTCTTTGTCGACTTAAAACTTGTAGGTTTCTTCATTTATCGAATATTAACGAGGAGCTTACTAAAAACGTGTAGTGACGCAAATTTTATTATTTCCTCTAGTTATATAATGTCAATATTATGGCAGTTAGTTTTCCTTGTGATTACTGTGTCTTATTCTAGATATTGAACGATTTTGAGAATTTTTATGGTCACGTTAAAAAATATTTTATTTATGAAAAGGTCTTTCAGCCCACTGTATTAACGTAAAGAAGATATTAGACGAATCTGCTGCATATTTTTAGGCGATTATTTTGTAGAAATTTATTTATAAACATTTAAGATTGCTTGGATTGCTAATATGTCGAAGATGGCGAATTATGTTTAAGTGGTTAGTAGGTGGTCAGAATTTTTTAGTTTTTTTTTTTATTAATTTTCTCGAAGTTGTATAACTTAGAAGCATTCATTGAAAATTTGAAGTAAATCCGACAAATACTTTTCGAGCATTCGAAGCCTGCTGGAACGTTCGTGAAAAAGTTGTTTTTTTCTATAATATATTACATTATTTAAATTTTATTTATAATATCCGTCAATCAGAAGTCAACAAATTTATTAAAGTATATTAGCAGTGATACATGTGATCGTGATCGTGACAAACTTAATATAACCTGGTCAGACTAGCCTAGTTTAGGTTCGATGCTTGATCTAGAAAAATCGCTATATGTAGTCCCTTGTAAGCCATAAAGAAGAAGAAATCCTATCCAGGATAAGCGTGAGATATTTCACTGCATTCGTCGGTTGCAGACGGATGGCTCTAATTTGCGGCAGCGGTGCTACCGGGATCTTATATTTTCTATTAAATATAACCATCTCGGTTTTATTTGAGGTGATAGTGAGGCCACTTTCGACGGCTGGATTTGTTTCGACGCTGACGTACCCTTGCGCCAACTCCCACACGATACTGAATAATTTTGTTTTGACCATAATTGCGACATATTCTACATAGGCAATCACCCGGCCGCCACGATCTTCAAGTTTTTTAAGCAGGTCGTTGAAGACCAGGATCCATAGAAGAGGTGAGAGAACTCCACTTTGTGGTGTTTCTCTACTCACATTTCGTCGAGCACATGTGTTGCGCCATTCCATCACTCTGTCCTACAGAAGACTGGAAATGAGATGTTTGAGGATGGATTCAACTCCAAGACCATCCAAAGCAGTTACGACTGTTTCCAGCAGGATGGTATTGAAAACTCCCTCAGTACCAAGGAGGGTCCCATTAGCGAATTCTTTAATCTTAATGGCTTTCTCAAGCCGTGACACGATAATACGCAGGGCAATTTCCACTGACCTACCTTTACAATGAGCATTTTGTGCTCCAGATAAATGATTCTTGGAATCCGCATGTTTCGCATTGTTATAGGGCATGTTGAGATAGTTCACTGAAGGTATCTGTTTTGTGGAACAGTTCCTGACATAGCTTCACTATATATAGATTGAACACATATTTATTACTTAAAATACGAGATGTTTCAACTTTGTCCGTAAAACACTTTACAGTTTGAAGAGACCCGGTTTGACTATGTATGTCATAGATTTTAAGGAAATAAAAACCGTACATAAGAAAAGTGCTGTTCCAATAGGTGAAAATATATTTGAAGGTACATTTTGAGAGACTAAATCTTCAAGCTTATATGTTATATGACATTATTCCGCACTGCCTTACAGCGTGTAAGCATTGTAAATTATGACGACTGCTAACAGAATTATGACATTACTGACAGAATTATGAGATTACTGACAGAGGGACGATAGATTTTTGCGAATTTCCGAAATACCGGTTATTCCGTGAAATCGATAAGAAGTAGATAATCGTAAAAAAAGCGAATGCCGTTTTTTAGCCATCCTGTATAACCTGTAATCCAAAAAACATAATTTATTGCACCAGACAAGTGCAATTGTTATCAGGCAGTATTTGTAGCCGATAGTTGGATTTAATATTAAGCAATTTACTTAGAAATTTACGTCAAGGGAAAAATACATATCAACAAATATGGCCACTTCAGTATACCCAAATCCAGTCCAAATCAATAAAGTGCTTATTATTATTTTAGTAGATTTTATTGTCAAATATAGGCTGAATATTACTGAGAATGTAGATCAGAGAAATTCCGCATCAGGGGAGCTTATACTTCATAGTACATATGTTTATAAATAACCTTATCAACCCCATTGTTATCTTTATTATATTCTTTCATTTTTTTGGCAAAGCTCATTTGTTTACACCGACAAAACACGTGTGGCTGCCGAAATTGCAACGCTGCTGGGGGTAAGAATGCCTAATAATAAGAAGAGATTCAAAACACGCTATAAAAGCGAGATAAGAATACGTCAGTCAGCTTATTAGAAGAACGCAATAAATACAATTAAGTAATTATGGTATTTACAGCATACTTAGGTTTAAGAAAAATATTTTTAATTAGTTTCTGTTGCGTAGTATGTAAATATATACATATATTATATGTATGAGACTAAATGCTGGGGACTTTAGGTTATGACCGAGTCACCTATATTTTAAATTTTTATTGAAAATGTCTAATGAGTTTGTAAAGATATAATATTAAATGTAGAAAAAATGGAAGCTCATTACGAAGCTGTGTGATCATAAAATTAAAAAAAATGAGTGTTTCCTAAAAATTTAATTTCCGACTAGAAAGGATCGGTACAATCGCAACTTCAATGGTCTCGAATCGAGTACTAGTTGATAAAGTAGTCTTGGAGTCTATTCAGATAATATGCATACATTTGTATGTATGTATGTATGTATCACAACGTAGGCTTCACAATAAAAACTTTGAATGTTTTTTCTCGAAACGCTGTTTTCAGAGTCTGTGAGAAAATCTTTAACGAACAGCTGGCTTGAAATTTTCACACAACCTTCTGAGACTGTTCCTTATATGTACTATGTCAGGTAATTATCGAAAGAATACAACTTTTGACAATAATTTGCACTCTGAAATTTTTGCATAAAACGTTAATAATCACAATTTACTTAAAAGGTTTGTACGGAAAGTAATAGGACAGAATCGATTTAAAAAAAAAAATATTGAAAACTCGTTACAATTCTTTAAAAACTTTCAAATTAGGCTCCTTCTGCGCCGATGCAGCGCTGCCAGCGCGATTTCCAAGCATTAATATGCTTGCCTTTCATCGGCCTTTTCAGACAAGGAAACACAAAAGTCCGAAGATGTCACATCTGGGCTGTAGGTGGCTGCAGAAGCGTTGGGATGGCCGGCTTTGGTTAGGTATCTGTTCACAAGAAAGGTGGTGTGACGCGGGGCGTTGTCGTGGTGCAACTTACAATCGGCTGCGATGTCTTGACAATGAG